GCTTGTTTAAAAATGGACATATCCAAATATTATCGTAAACACCCAATGATTTGTTTTACCTGCAATATAAGTATTTTACTTAGTTAGCTTACATAGTAGCTAATAATATTTGTTAATGTAATTTAACTGCTGTGAACCTTTACTGAACAAATATTGAAATTTATACAAGTCAAAGAATGAGGATCTCTAATGACTTTTGTAAAGACTTCCGTTTAATAGTTAAATAGAAAAGTTTATATGACATAGCCAGTGTAATTAACAGCAGATTTTACATTTAATAAAAAAAGAAAGAGGCATATGTATTTGCTTTACTCATTCCAACATAATTTGCATTACAGTTATGGGTATTTAATGAGCAAATTCCAGCTAAAATGCTGTGTTGATTTTCTAAGTGAACTTTGAAATAACTATGTACCTTACAAAAACTGTCTGTTTACCCTTATCTGTCTAAGACTACAAGTGTTTTAGACTTAATGGGTTTAATACAATTATCTTTCTAGGGTAAAAGAATGTAGTCTTAAGTATAGGATGGTTCTGTCGTTGCAAGTATTGTATTATAATATGGACAGTTTAGTTTTGTGACAAGTAACCTAAATATGTGTTTTATAATGGCAATCATGTATTTATGTAGTTCATGAAAAAATTGTTTATATTGAGTAAAAAGTTTTGGTTTGTGGAATTGTGGGCACATTTAACTGAAATTATTTGGCTGAAACATGCTTAACTTTGGCAGGCACAATCCTTATCTCTTTTTTCTCCCTTGCGTATCATGGCACTCTGACATTAAATATGCACATTTAATTCAATAAGCTTCACATTTCAATTAAAATGTCATTTTAAAAAACCTTAGGCACACTAGGCTTGGTGGAAACAACCTTGCCAAGGTAAACCTGGTATTCCAGGAAATAGTAAAAGTGACTTTGAAGCAATAACCCTGGAAGTCCTTGGAAATGGTCTGAAGTCAAACAGGTTACACAGAAATCATTGTTTGAAAATTAGCAGTAGCTCCCTCTGTTCTCTGCAGACTTATTAACTGCAGCAACTGAAATCATACTGGTTTGATACTCATCATTTTGAGAATGTGTTCAAAAGTTGTCTCTGCCTTAGCAGAGGAAACTCCTTCAACCCTCTGGCTATTGGGATCACAGCTCCTCTCTCTTAATAATATATAGTGTTCCATTCAGCACTTCGAATGGAAAACAGACATCTTAAGGTTGAGTGCCAATTTTTCCTCTGCTTTGGACATTATAATTCTAACTTAGCCTAATATACGTTTATTCTGTACCAGAAACATCAGGGTCTGCCCTTTTATCTAATCCTGGCAGGAATATTGTTAGTTTGCAGTTCTGTAAATTTACTGTACTCATAGTTAACTATCTTGGTACCGTACTTTTGAAAAACCATGTTACACTTTGGGTTTAGAACACAGTCTGTCAGGTTGAACCAACTGAGCCCCTAAACCAGTTCTTTTCACTCCATGGCTTGTGGAGACCCACATTCACAATTATCATCAACCAAAAGAGCCACATGGCTACTGCATGCCTTGCGTGCCATACCACAAAACCCACACATACAATAATATTAAATATATAACAATAATCATTGTCAATTAAAAATATCATAGTTATATATTTAATAGTAGTCTATTAATTAAGACCGCTACACATGTACACCTGCTTCTCCCTACCACTATTGACCTTTAGCCTGCTGTCAAGTAACCTGAGGGAAGGGAAGTTCTTTGCTTTCAGCTTTCCTGATCTCTCCTCAGCATGAAGTAAAAGTAACTCAGGAAAAGTGTGAGACTGTAAAGACATCCAAAGGAAAGTAAGCTGGCTACAAAAAAGAGGAATAAAATGTTATCACTACATTGTGGCTAGCTTGCTCTTTTCCTGGGTGACGGTCCAGATGCTGGAATGAGAATGAAGGCTGAAGAAAAGAATGGAGGGTTGTTGGAAACAGTGGGCACATGGCTCAGGGAGGCTGCCAAACACAAGCCCTACTGCCCTTGCCCATTTTCCTGGAATATATGGTGGGTGTCACATTGGGGAATGACACTCAGAACAGCCATTGGTATGTCAAAAAGCCATGTGTGGCTCCCAAGCCACTGAATTAGTGTCCTTACCCTAAATTGCAATCTACAGTTATCTGGGAACGGACTTATCTGCCAGCATGCTTGGGCCCTGGGAGACGGGAGATGTCACGCTGACACCCTGGAGCAGCATGGAGATGGGGATGTCCACTGGCAATGGCTCTGGGTCAGAGCTGCACCCTAACAAGAGTGGTGCCGGGCCGCCTGGGGCCCTACCTGGCTGCTGCCACCACAGAAATGCACAGGGCCAGGAGGTGGAGGAGCTGGGAGGCCACAAAGGGGCGATGGCCACCCAGGTTCAGGATGCAGGCTGAGCCTGGCCACACCGACGCAAGGACCACTGGTGGTGATGGGCAAATGTGGAGCAAGAGGCGGGCGGGGTGCCAGATGGAGGAGTGTGACCGCAAGCCAAAAGGAACTGCCGGTGCAGCAGGAGGGAGGTGGGACAAACAGTTTAAAAGGGGTGGGGGTCCTCCTGCAATGGGAACAGGACACAAGGTGATAGGTGGGGCAAGGACCAATGGGAACATAGGATGGGTGGGGAAGAAGCAGGGTGGAGGGAGATGAAAGGAGGCCACCTGGCTGGGGTCGAAGAGGAGGACGCAGCAGGGAAGTTGGAGCTGAACAGAGAGAGAGAGAGAGTGCAACCTGAGACTCCAGAGAGTGCCTATTGCCTGCTGGCTGAAGTCTTTCACCTGCACACTGAGATCCCAGCGGCCCCTTGGGAGAATTCTTAGGGCCACGGTGGAAGAGGCAGGGTCCATTGGGGTGCAGGGGCAGCCTGGCAACAGTGTTATGCCTTCTTGTGATGGCTACTAAATCACATACTTTTTCTTGGAGTACACAAGTAGGAGAAAATTATTGGAGGAGAAAAATGCTTTAGAGTAGGTATAGGGCCCCCAAAATTTATTTACTGATAAAAGATGTTGAACTAGTTATACTTTGTTGGCGATGCTTATGAAGGACAAAAAAGAACCATGAATCCTAGTTTTAACCATAGCTTATTCCATGTACATATCATTACAGCATTACCTTTAAAGCCAAACATAAAAATGAAAAACATTGGGTAGCCTCCAAATGTACCAGTCTTAGAACTCCACTTCAGTTACATCGAAGAAAACAAAATGCATGATGTTACATAATCTATATATCTAATAGCCAAGTTGCCCCCTCCGTGCGGATACTTAAATCAGCACGGAGGGGGCAGCTGGGGGGCCGGGGGAGGTTTGTGCAGACGTGGGCCAGTCCCCACGTGTGCACAAAAATAAAAAAAGTTGAAAAAAAATTTGGGGGGATGTTTAAATCCCCCCGAAAGTGCAAGAGCGTTCCATGCGCAC